AAGTATTCTCTGATTCTAAAAAAGCAGTTAGTGACTCTGTATTAATATTGTAACTCCACTAAAAGCCATAAGCTACTAAAATACAGCTAAGCATAACGAAGTAAAAAATACAGAACCACAAAGCATACAAGGATTCTTGAGTACATGAAAGAAGAGGGTTGCCTGAAGAGGGTACATGAAAGCATGTACAAGCAGTAAAAGCTTACTTGACATTACTATAAAGGTGATTAACTCTCCCACCAATATTGGAAAACAGGTGGAGAAAAGACATATCTGGAAAGAATGTGCTGTCTCCACACAGCCTGAATTTAGCCCCAAGTGCCTGAGGTAGCAAAGGAAAGAAAGGAAGAGAAAAATATTTGTACCAGAAAAAAATCCACCACCATGCAGACACATGTTGTATTACTCAATAATTCCAGTTTTCAGTGCTGCGCGATAAAGAGACGTCTGGAATTGTGATCTGGGTTTTGTAGAGCTGACGTGAACCATTCACACAGCTCAGGTTCTGTGTTTTGTTTCACCATCGGTAATGTGACCACTTGCACATCGCTTCCAGTCAAAAGCAGAATCGACTGGAGGTAACTGAAAGGTGAAAACTAAAAGTTGTGAAACTCTGTGCTGATAAAGATGGTGCTGTCAGTGCTGGCTTTGCCTCCTGAGCACTCGACTACCCGCATTAATAAGCTGACAACAAGAGAAAAAATGACAGAGTGAAGAGGCAGCATAGAAGGGATCAGTGTCCCACCACAAGGTAAAGCTATAAAGCAGAGGATAAACTAAAAAGTTAATAGTTACCAAAAAGATGTCTTTTTATTGTTTTTTTTTTTGCTGCTGGTATAAATGTAGGTGAAGGACCAGTTTTAAAGTGAAAGTGTCCAATGATTCTGCAGGTACCAACTTCAGCACAACTCACTGCAAACCAGAAAAAAAGAATCCATCACCGTCTGAGTTAATACTCTTGTGATGAAATTTGTCATCAGGTGCTGTCAGGTGTGTGGTTTCACAGAAGAAAAATCGATCCTGAAGCAACACTGGAATGGTCTTAGAACACAGAAATACTGTCAGGATGTTTTCTAATATCTTAATGCTTGCCTAGGACAAACCCAGCTATGGGAAAGCTCCAATTAGCTGCTGGGCATCTCCAAAACCCCCAGTATTCACAAAGTAACCTTTTGTCATCAACACCAAGATACCGATATTCCCAGAGGTTTTAGGATAACAAAAAAAAAAGAAAAGGAAAGGAACCAAAGTTAGTAACAGAATTGAAAGTCTTCACTGACAGGGGACAGACAAAATCAGGCAGTGAAGGAAAAACAGCCAGCAAAATGCCCACTTTTCAGGGTGCCATTACTATGCCAAAGAATCTCTTTTGTGAATATCTCAAGGAATTACCTCCCTATACAGTGTTCGATAAATTGTGACAATCCTAAGCCATCAGAAATAACATATTTCAGGTACTGTTGTACCCAAGAACAATTTCATATGAAAACAAATGGACAAGGAACTGCAGGGAGTCACTCTACACTAAAAGTAAAGATACGTTATAATCCTGGGCAGTGAACTGCACAGCAACAACTGGCCCAGGATGAACAGCACCAACAGTCTATCTTGCAGTTCTTAGCAATAAATACCAAATTCTGGATTCCCAAATTAAGCTCTAAAGAGGAGCAGGTGCTCTCACAGAAGCAGCAGTTCAGAGCCGAGCTTCACTCCTAATTTATTTTTTGGCCAAAGTTAGCTCCAAACTTCAATAAATGAGAATCCCTTTCCTGTCTTTTTTTGGACAGGCTTTGGATAACTTTCAGTTGCTTCTCAGGCCCCCACTTCTTCATGGCACCCTCGTTACCATTTTAGCAAAGTAGGGCAACGCGAATGAAGCCCCTGATGAGGTTTCCAAAGCAGCACAGGAACATAGACTGGGCACAGACTCCCTGCTCTAGTCAGCCTCATTTGCTCCCCATGGTGCTACAACCACTGATTAACCGCAGAGCAACAACAGCCTGGGTGTTGTAAGCTTCAATCCAACTCTACCAACTCCTCCCAGAGCTCCAAACCAGAAGGCAATCGTTAATCGAATTCGGGAAGGGAGTGGCCTGATGCTGTAGTTACACTACTGCACGGTGTTGTACCTACACCACACCTAACTGCTGAGTGTGACCCAGCACAGTGCTGTAACTACACCACACCTAACTGCTGTGTGTGACCCAGCACAGTGGTGTAACTACACCACACCTACCCTCTGAGTGTGATCCAGCACAGTGCTGGAACTACACCACACCTAACTGCTGAGTGTGACCCAGCACAGTGCTGTAACTACACCACACCTAGCTGCTGTGTGTGACCCAGCACAGTGGTGTAACTACACCACACCTAACTGCTGAGTGTGACCCAGCACAGTGCTGTAACTACACCACACCTAACTGCTGTGTGTGACCCAGCACAGTGGTGTAACTACACCACACCTACCCTCTGAGTGTGATCCAGCACAGTGCTGGAACTACACCACACCTACCCGCTGAGTGTGATCCAGCACAGTGCTGGAACTACACCACACCTAGCTGCTGAGTGTGACCCAGCACAGTGCTGTAACTACACCACACCTAGCTACTGAGTGTGACCCAGCACAGTGGTGTAACTACACCACACCTAGCTGCTGAGTGTGATCCAGCACAGTGCTGTAACGTCACCACACCTAGCTGCTGTGACCCAGCACAGTGGTGTAACCACACCACACCTAGCTACTGAGTGTGATCCAGCAAAGTGCTGTAACTACACCACACTGAGTGTGATCCAGCACAGTGGTGTAACTACACCACACCTAGCTTCTGAATGTGATCCAGCACAGTGCTGTAACTACACCACACCTAGCTGCTGAGTGTGATCCAGCACAGTGCTGTAACTACACCACACCTAGCTGCTGAGTGTGACCCAGGACAGTGCTGTAACTACACCACACCTAGCTGCTGAGTGTGATCCAGCACAGCGGTGTAACTACACCACACCTAGCTGCTGAGTGTGATCTAGCACAGCGGTGTAAATACACCACACCTAGCTGCTGAGTGTGATCCAGCACAGTGCTGTAACTACACCACACCTAGCTGCTGAGTGTGATCCAGCACAGTGCTGTAACTACACCACATCTAGCTGCTGAGTGTGATCCAGCACAGTGGTGTAACTACACCACACCTAGCTACTGAGTGTGATCCAGCACAGTGCTGTAACTACACCACACCTAGCTACTGAGTGTGATCCAGCAAAGTGCTGTAACTACACCATACTGAGTGTGATCCAGCACAGTGCTGTAACTACACCAAACCTAGCTACTGAGTGTGACCCAGCACATTGCTGTAACTACACCACAAAGAGCTACTGAGTGTGATCCAGCACAGTGCTGTAACTACACCTCACCTAGCTACTGAGTGTGACCCAGCACAGTGGTGTCACTACACCACACCTAACTGCTGAGTGTGACCCAGCACAGTGCTGTAACTAACCACACCTACCCTCTGAGTGTGATCCAGCACAGTGCAGTAACTACACCACACCTAGCTTCTGAATGTGATCCAGCACAGTGCTGCAACTACACCACACCTAGCTGCTGTGTGTGACCCAGCACAGTGCTGTAACTACACCACACCTAGCTGCTGAGTGTGATCCAGCACAGTGGTGTAACTACACCAAACCTACCCGCTGAGTGTGATCCAGCACAGCGGTGTAACTACACCACACCTACCTGCTGAGTGTGATCCAGCACAGTGCAGTAACTACACCACAAAGAGCTACTGAGTGTGATCCAGCACAGTGCTGTAACTACACCACACCTACCCTCTGAGTGTGATCCAGCACAGTGCTGTAACTACACCACACCTAACTGCTGAGTGTGATCCAGCACAGTGGTGTAACTACACCACACCTAGCTACTGAGTGTGATCCAGCACAGTGCTGTAACTACATCACACCTAGCTACTGAGTGTGAGCCAGCACAGTGCTGTAACTACACCACACCTACCCGCTGAGTGTGATCCAGCACAGCGGTGTAACTACACCACACCTAGCTGCTGAGTGTGATCCAGCACAGTGCTGTAACTACACCACACCTAGCTACTGAGTGTGATCCAGCACAGTGCTGTAACTACACCACACCTAGCTATTCTGAGTAAATATAACAGAAGCTGTGTGAATGAAGCAGCTGAAGCCCTGGTATGAGCCAGCATTCCAGGTAGTCCAGCTCCCGTACCTGTAGGTGTGCTCCTCTCTCTCTGGGCAAGCAGGAGCACCCTCCTCTCCCAGTCCCTTTTTTCAGCACCACAATGGCTTATTTTAAATTCTGGCAGACCAGCTCCAGTATTTAAAACGCAAGTTAAATGTGTTTGACATTCCATACCCAGCTGACAACAAACCAGAATATTTAGAACAGCAGCATGTCAGGCCTTTATTTATTTATTTCTCTGGCAGGCCTAAGTGCTGCACCTTTTCATTTATATGCAACTGTTTGCCCCATGGGCATCAAGCTGTTAACACGTACAGAAGAGATTAAAACGAGCTTGCATGGTGGATGAAATATAAATTAAAATTATAGTAATGCCAGTCCTGGATCCGGGATTGTTTCTCAAGGTCTCCCAAAATGCATAATTTCAAATGAGCCTCTGTTACTTCAGGAAACGCAAAAATGTGTATTTTTTCAGCAACACAGCCAAGATGAATTTTAAGTGGTCCCTGAGCCTGTGAGTAGAATATGCTGCGCTAACATGGTGAGTTGTGTAAGCAGGGATGGTGCAAATGAATAAAAGCCTTTAACATGGGACATGCACATGTTCACCTCCCCACATTCCAGTGCTAAGCAAACCCGAGGCCGGGGGTATTCTCCCGTCACCAACTCCCAGTGCTGTGCCCTCCAAACCCACTCCTGACACAAGCTGAGCGACCCCCATCTCCTGACGAGCCAAAGGGGATCTGTGTGCACTAGAGAGCGCGGAGCAGGGCGCGCACCCGTGGCCCACCTGGTCTCCAGCGGGACGTTGCTGTTGAGCACCCAGCTGTCCTGCAGCTGCACGGACTCGGGGGTGGTGGCCAGGTCGTTGGGTGCCGGCGCGGGCGCGTGGATCTGGTTCCGGCGGTTTGTGAGCGAGTTCCTGTTGAGGGAGTTGGCAGAGGAGTGGTGGTGGGACAGGGAATGGTTGTGAGGAGGAGGCAGCGGCGGCCTCAGCGTAGACTGGCTGTGGTGGTTTGAAGGGCCTGGAAGACAGGAGAAAAACACATCACCAATGTGCATCCATGTGCTGCTCTCCTTGACACTGTGAAAGGACCACTGCCTGGAAAAAAAGCCAAGCTCCACAAAGAGATAACTAAGCCTACGTTCCTTTTGGACCTGTAGACGTTAAAATACGGTTAAATCACAGCAGTGACTATTAGAGATCAGAGACACAAAAGTGTTGTGAGGCTGCACAGTTGGGATGTGCGGTCTCCGTATTTGTACAGAGGTGTAAATCTGCATTTAGATTTAGAAATACTTCTTTATAGATTCTTCCTGAGAAAGGATCCTCTGTTGAGGAGCAGGACAGCAGCCCAGCCTGGCCACTCTGTACATCCACCCAGAGGAATGTTTTCCTCCCTGTTTCTCTCAGGGTCTTTAAGGAGATGAACCTTAATGGATTAAACCCAGCTTTTGAAAATACGGTCTTTAGGCTCCTATAAAACTTACTCAGAGATCTCAATCTGCTTTCACTCGCTGCTGTTATACCAATCAGCATCAAACGAACATTATTTGTTCCAGTGAAAGAAGATTAAACTTCAAACATGAAAAGGGAGCAACAATGCAATGATGGTATCTTTCATGTTCTGTGTGATCAGGATTTGGCCTTTATTTTTCTATTTAGCAATGCCACAAACACACACCAAGATCTGAGAATTATGCTCCCCTTTCAGCCTCTTTGATTGAAAATAGCAGATGACTTTCAGTGATAAAGAAGGATAGGCACTTTTCTCATTCTTTGGGTTCTGACATATTTGGAGATAATGAAAATGATTTTTTGTAATCAATAAGGCGAGTGGATTAAAATAAAAAGCACATGAGAAGAAAACAGAAGAAGCAGGTGTTATTTGAGCATAGTCACTTTTCCAAACGTAAATGCAGAACAGTAAACAAGTTTAAGTGCAATTCCATGTTACAGCTACTTACTTCTAATAGATATAGCAAAAGAGATTACAGAAAACAAACTGTGTTATGAACCGCATGCTTTAGTCATTATATTGAGTTATAGTTTTCTAGTGAACAATAATCAGAAAAAGTTATATTAGCGAAATGATAATTATAATGATGTATGTTTGTTTTTAGAAACCGAAGCACATTCTGTACTTAATGAATCAAACAGTAAAAGAACACATCACAAGGGGAAACCATTTGCAGTGAGACTGATCTGTTTTGATATGAAACAACGAAGTTTCAGAAAAACTGCTGAACTGATTAATTAACTCTACATTGAGACCAATACTAAAAAAAAAATAAAATAAAAAAAGCCCAAAAATCCCCCCAATCCCCCCCAAACCATTCAAGGGGGAACTCAGAATCAGGCTGCACAGCCAGGAACTGAAATCAGTGCATCATTTCAGGCTTTTGAATGCTAAAGCTCTGATCAAAACACCCCCTGTAATCAGGGATATGTTTTAGACTCCCACAAGACAGAAGTGTCTTTTCTTTTGCGTAGGGAAAAGCACACGATACTGGGGCTCAAGCGCTGGTAGTCAGAGGGGCAAACTGGCACAGCACCCAGAGCCATGACAGTGACCTGGTCCCAGGCGCTCAGCCAGGCTCTACCAACACATGGAGTTGTGGCACACAGGGACATGGGTTAGTGGTGGACTTGGCAGTGGCAGGACTTGATCTTAAAGGTCTTTTCCAACCTAAACAACTCTATGATTCTGTGCAACACCTCTGGGACCAGTTCCTCACCTAACACTGCTCTGCTGACTGCCCACCTGGGGAAAAGCAGTGAGAACACACATTCCTAAGAGCAGCACAACTGATGAATAGAAAGGGAACAGAGATTTTTGGAGAGATCATTCATTTTCCTACACATACCTGTGGACCTGGGGAAGCACAAGCTGATGAAGAAGACAGGTTTACAAAGTCACCTTTTATGAACGCATCCTAATTTTAGGACTATCACACGTGCTCATCTCCTCAATATCCTTCACTTGGTTATTTCTTACTTAAGTTTGAAAGAGTCTGTTTAGCCCCAAAATCTTTATGTTTAAACCCCCCATTTGCACCTCCTAGAACAACCAAATGTCTGATCTACACTAGATCCTGTGCCATTTCCCAGCAGCATGTGGAGTAAGACACAGCAGGGAGAAAATGTGTTTGGACAATATCCACATGCATAGAAGCTTAAGTGGAATTACTCTCCCAGTCTGTGTTCCGACTTTAAATAAAGCATGTTTGGATTTCAATGAGTGGATATTTATGAGTGATAAAATACAAACTTGTGCCCTTGTATTAAAAATTACTTCAGAAGATTCATGAGCTTCATATTTTCTCAGCTTCCTTTGGATGCAGCTTTTCCTTTTGGAGGATAAATATGGGAAAGTCATACCCACATAAACAAAAAACTTTTCCTCCGAGAGACACAGTAGCACCAGCTAAATAAAGACTGAATCTTGCAACCACAAATCATAGAGGCTGTTCTTAAAAGTGAGCCAACTGCACATCAATAAGAATGAACAGAATTTCTGTAAGATTAAGGAAGCAAGAACTGCATTCAAGTTACCACAAATTAATTTAGTCTTCCTCAAGACTCAGTTCCCACACAGTAAATAAAAGGTACTGCGCAACATAAGCTGTGCAGAAGTAACTGAATATACACTACTGGAGCTGCAGAACCTCAGAGATCTGGCATAAGATGAATGTAGCACTTAATACAGAATAATAAACCAAACACCAATATCAACATTACATAGATGTATTCAGTTTATATTAAAACATATAAAAGCTTATATATATATATATAAAAGTACTAACTAGGGAGCATGCACACACACTCGTGTATATAGGAGAGAGATAAAAGCTTAATATGCTGCTTCTTCATAAACCTGTTTAAATGAATCAAAAGCAGAAGATGAACACTATTGAACTTGCCAGGGATATAAAATTGGATTCACATCGGAACATCTGAGCACTTCTTTATGAGCATCTTTGCCTAAATTAAAACTTCAACAGCACTACCTGCAAATCTGCTGAGCTCTGAAGTTCAGAAAAGTAAATCACTTGCCCCATAATGAAAGATCAGCAGCCTTAAGGACTCGCACAACGGATCTTAGGACACGACAAGCTCTGCGGTCTCTCACAAATTGCTTTATTATTTGGAAGCTTAAACACACTGTGTCTAGATGGAATACATCTGGCTTTTTACATCAGGAAAGAGATTTTATTTTTGAGGTAGCAGTTGCCAGTATTGGTTTGGGGAAAAATACTGAGGAAATTTTGCCTTTTCTCAATTATTACATGAAGTGCTGATTTCACCAGCGTACACTTAGGATTTAAGGCGAAGTCTCTTGAAATGCAATGGAAAACACAGGACTGGAAATCTGACATACTGGTCCTCTCCACATTTTGGCTTTTTTATTTTTTTATTTTGTAATTTCTGATTTAATTCACAAATAGACAAACACACCTAATTCTAATGAACTTTAGCACACATTCATTGTGCTGAGCACTTCTGAAAAATCAGGGCTTGATGACCAGATAATCAACACGCGATTCTTCAAGAGATCTTACTGCAGTCAAGAATATCAGCAATGCTCATTTCAAATTAGAAGCTGAGTGTGGATAAATTGTGTTCTAATTAAGTGATCTGAGAATACAAAGTCTGAGCTACATATCTTTGAAGCAATCATAAGCTATCCAGCCCTTAGGTGAGTTTAATCAAAACCAAAATGCTAAAAAAGAAAATAAAGTTGTTTTTTTTTCCCCGTTCATTCTTTTACTCAGTGAAACCATTAAAGAAGTCAGGCTGGAACAGAGTTAAAACGTCAATTAAAACAAGATGCAGAACAGCACTTGCCCCTTAGAAACAAAAAACCCACCAAACCCAACCAACCCTGAGCAAAACTGTCACTGGGATCTTCCCTTTTTCTGCACACACAGGGACAGTCAAAGATGCGCAGCCCAAAGTAAAATCCCGAGGCTACCGCCCTGCTGGGCACATCGCAAGGGTACCACGGGAAGCGCTGTGTGATGGGCAGCTGCCACACGTCCTCCGGGAGCCTGTGCTGCTGCATCACAACACGAGCCGGCAACTTCGGGGATGAGGGAAAGTGTGGGATGTCACGGTGTTACAGGTACAATGGCGATGGCTGTTTGCTCCCGAGCACACACTTCCAAACATCACTTCTCACCTATTTTTGCCATCCAAACGTTGTCTAAAACGCAATTCGAAACTCCAGATCCTCTTCAACATGGGGAAATTACTTTCCAAAGTTTTTCCAAGCCTTGGTACACTCAGTTAACACGTGCTAAATCCCAGCAACACAATGATCTGAGAACAACTTAATCTCCAACCTCAGAGATTAAATTCAAAGCAGAATCAGCTGCATCCCTAATCTAAGCAAAGCAGTTCTTTGTCAATACTACCTCAAAAAAGTAACTGTAGATTGTTATCTTAGTTGTGCTGAATTATCCTCTGTGCCATGATTAAGTGTTAAAAGACACAGAAACACCTCCTCATCAATCCTTTTCACCAAAGAACCAAAAGAAAAACAACAAACATACATTATTTTTCTGAAATGAGCAATGATGCAGCTATTTCCTTACACTTCTAAACAATACAAGTTCTGAATGCAAAAAGATAACAAAGCTGATGCACTGAAAGAAAAAAATAAGCAACTCCACAGAAAATGCTTGTTAGCCAGCATTAAAAACCCAGTTTTCAGTATTTCTAGCTCTTTATGCAAACAACTCGACCACAAGGAAACCACATCATCTGCTATCACGAGTAACAGGTTTTTCACAGAACCACAGGGCCACCTTCCAAGCTAAATTCATCTTCAAAGGCAGATCCCATTACTCAGTCAGGAAGAAAAGAAACCACTGAAACACCAGGAACACAATACAGTATCACAGGGAGCTGCTGTCTCCACAGCCAGCTTTCACCTGGGATTTCAGCCCTCACTGGACTTTGGCAGAGTGGGACCAGGGCTCCTTCCCGGCAATACAGACTTGGTTTAATGCTATGTCTGCT